GCATAATGCTAATTATTGCACTCTAGTGCCGAATTTTGGCGAAAAAAAATACCAAAAAAGGCCTTTTCTAGAGACAAAATAGTACAACATTGGTGAACAATCGCGGACGCTTACTGTTATATATATGCCACCTATACATCCAGCGTAAGGTGGGCGTGAGGTGGGCACAGGTGGGGGTCATCACTATGGCAATCAATAACAGACGTCATTCGGGACACGCGAGGTTTCCCGAAGTTATAACACTTCGAGTGAGGGACGCAGTAAACACTGATCTCGAGTCGGGTTTCGGTGAAAATACCAGATTTTCACCGCTCATTATCTCAGCGTAGGGGCATCATAGGGACATGCAGTTTGTTTTATATGAACAAGGTAAGACAGCTAATCAATAATACTGCAAAGGATCGTCAAAATAAAACGGGAAAAGTTTATTAATTCGACTAATACTGCAGCATGGTTTCAGCATTTTACCCTTGTACGCTCTCCTTCTTTATACGCTCTTGACTATATCAAAGATGGAAAGAGACAAAGTTGATCAAATAGACAGATCAACACTGCAGGTCGTAGTAGTAGAAAAATTAAATGAAATTGTCAATTAAATGTAATTGAAGCAAGCATTAAATGTAAATGTAATTAAAGCAAATTGTAATGGTTCCCTCTCGTGTATTTCACAAAGCGCGAATGTGCGGGGATGTAGGGCCTACTGAAATTTACTGCTTGGTTGAAAATAAAGAGCAGCTCGTGAATCGATATTGTTTTTCCAAGAGTGTACTGATGTTTTTTATTAACCAGATCACTTGCATTTTTAGGTTGGAAAGATATTTGAGTTGCTTAATTGTGATCGACACAAAGGTCTAATGAAAAAATTCAAAAGAGATCTGGCCAAATGTCGTCCTGACATCACACATCAGGTAAGTATCTTTATCTGTGTACTGATTAAGCTCTGTATATTTTTATTATAGAGTTAATTTAATTAGATGACTTGTATGTCTAAGGCCATGACAGTCCCCCCTGCCATTCACAGACTATCTCAGTGATTTTTTACAGTTATATATGCTGAAGGCTCTAAATGTCAGATATGTTATAAGAAAGATCCTTACAGATGCTTACTGCCTAACATGATACTTTGCTCTTTATTTTAGTGCCTGTTGATGCTCATGGACAGCCCACTCAATAGAGCTGGACTTCTGCAAGTTTTCGTTCGCACTGAGCAAAACGTCCTCATACAGATTAATCCACAAACTAGAATCCCCCGTACATTTGACAGATTCTGTGGACTAATGGGTATGCGCCCTGTGCAGTTTAAAGATGCTGCCACTATTGGTGTTTATATGGTCTTTAGTAAAAGCAATAATAGCTTTATATTTCAATACCCCTTTCTACTTCTTATCCTTAAAAAAAAAAGTACATAATTAAAAATAAAATAAACCTTGTGTTTTGCCAGGTGCTCATGTTAAAGTGATTACATCACAGTTAATATTAAAGTAAAAAAATATATTTCCACTTTTTCACAAAATGTAATTAATTCTGTTAACTTTTTATGGTTAAATTGCTGCATTACACTTCCTATTTTACTATATTGTTCAATATAAGCATACACTCGTGACTCATACATAGGCTGAGAGGGTCTATGTCCCCCAGGGTACTATCAAAGGGTACCCTTGGTACAGTTCGATATATCGGAACGTACCCTGGTACTATCTAATATGCCGGACCGTACCTCGCCTACGCCTACTCCATAACCCTAACCCTAACCATATCAGATAGTTACCAGGGTACGTTCCGATATATCGAACCGTACCCAAGGTACCCTCCGATAGTGCCCTGGGGGACATAGACCCTATGAGCCATACATAGCCCATAGCAAGCAATTAATGTCAGGATCATAATATCAAATCGTCCAGGTTTTTTGGATTTTTAATTAGTTGAGAAACAATCTTATCAGGTAAGAATTTGACGATACATTTAGTGCTGTTAGTACTTACTTTTCATGTTAAAAAATGGCCACAAAATTTTTCAAATGTACACCATCGAAAATTCGTGACGTAGTCAATTTAACAAGTGCTTTCTCTGTGACACAATGTCCCAATCTCACAATTTCTGTTACAGTTCAGTTGCTTCACAAGCTGTCTATTCATGCTGCAGATGGACCTCAGAAGTTACTGAAGGTATTGGAAACTTAAAAATATTGCAGTGGTACTAAATTTCTATCTCTGTAATGTAATGTGTAGATTACTGGCATGTCAGATCTTGTTGCTGCCTCTAGCAAGAAAATCCATGTAACACTGTGACCATTACTAGTTTATTTGTGTAGACCCTTTCACCACCATTTTCCTCTAGTTAATTCAATCGTTTTATGAAGATGGTTGACTGATTATCAGAAAAAGTGTAATCTAATTCGTAGCTTGGTCCTCTGCTTACTGAAGGTAATTAAGAACCCAGTTACGCAACACCTTCCGACTGGAGTGAAGAAGATTTGCCTGACATACAGTACTGATAGATGTGTACAGCCTAGAGAGTTGGCGCCGAGTGACAAGCCCGTAGTGCTCGTTATAGGTGCAATGGCACATGGGAAGGTAAGGAACACCATTTATAACAGTGTTAGGATTGCCATAGTAAAACCAAACTACTACTGGTATTCTAATCACATGGCTAAAATAAAATCAATTTTCAAACATTCTTGAGATTTTTAGCTCAGCTGACGAAGTCAGATGCAGCTTGTAGAATCGCATGAATGTCCGTCCCTCCGTGTGTCCGTGTGTCCTTCAACAGTTGGGCACAAATCTTAATCGCTCGACATACGGTCTTGATATTCGGGACGTTGGGGGGGATCGCGAATAGGACTCGGCATGTCGAATTTGGGGGGCCAAAGGTCAAGATGTGTCAATGGAGGGGGAATATTTCCCCCTTAACTTAAGGTATAGGAGAAAATATGGAATTGCGGCACAAATCTCAACGGCTCGACCTACGCTCTTAATATTTGATGTATAGTGTGATGGGGAGGAAACCCATCACCAGTGCGAAATTGGAGGTCACAGGTCAAAGGGCAGTGGGGGAAAGGTCAGATATCAGACATTTTCCGAGGACATGGTCTAACGGACCAAGTGCAAAACTTTATTTTTTATCACTTTATTGAAAGGACCATGAAATGTACTTTCCGCTGACGTGCGAAGAGTAAGTGTCTGATAACCTTTTGATCCTTAAGAGGCGGGTTAAACATGGATTTAACACTGACATTGAATGATTGAAGGACAGTTTTGATTGACATCTTAATGACATGAGTTCTGCTACTTAATAAAGATACTGGCAGAGGATTTGAAAGCTTTTTAATATTTGGAAACTTATTTAACTCAGTCAGGGTTTTGTTCTTTCTTTGTTGTTGTCGTAATCTAGTTATGTTATTGCCAAACATTACCCATAGTTAGAATACAAATAAATTATTTAATAAATGTAGCAACCGGGCCACCTGAAAATCCATTTGGCCACCTGAATCTCATACTCAAGTGGCCCGGCCGGCCACCTGAAAAAAAAGTCAAGGGCAAGCCCTGTGATCAGAACTAATTATTGTCAGCCTGGTAAGCCAGTCAAAGTGTTGCAGCTGTGTGTATCACTATCAGTAATTGCCCTGACATGAAAATCGTACATGCAGACGCTACCATTTAATTTTTATCGTGTAACGTGTTTAGCAATACAACTTACTAATACTAGTAATAGTAATACTAGTAGTAGTACCGGTAGTACTAGTAGTAGTAGTAGTAGTAATAGCAGCAGCTGTTGCAACACTCAGCAAGAGCTCTCAATAATAAGTACTACATCATAGATTACATACATGATACAGTATAGACCAATAAATTGTGCCCTAAAATTTTTTATATTCTGGTGTTATTTTAGGCCAATAATATTTTAGAACAATAAATTGTGCCCTAAAATTTTTTATATTCTGGTGTTATTTTAGGCCCTAAAATAACACCAGAATATAAAAATTTTTAGGGCACAATTTATTGGTCTAGATAGGCCCCTACAGTACTGTGAGTACATACAGAGATTACAGTATTGACAATTGTAACTTATTTTACCTTGCTGTTGTGTGATTTTCTCCCATTATTTTTCTCAGCTACTTTAAGTAGTTGTTCAAGATCCATATAAATTCAAATTAAACACAAATCTCCAAGGACCTTGTGACGTTGTGTGTCTAATTATTCAGGAGTAATAATAACACTAACTTGTTCGAAACCGGAAGACAACAGCTACGTCGAAAGTGGTGTCATAGGAAATGCTGTCACGAGAAACTTTGTTCATTTCTATTTTATTACAGTATAGTGATGTCTATCCATATGTTCTTACTACTCATTTAGAGCTCGGAATTTTTCTAGGTCTTGTTTTATAATAGTTAAAGCAACTAGTGTTTTCAAATATGAACTATGAATCTATCACAAATCGTCAAGTGTGCTATGCCATATATTCCATCTCTGAATCTGTAGATGGCGCCACAGACTGTGCGAAGATGGATGCTTCCAGTAATAACAACGAGGATTCTTTCGAAGAACCGCCTTCCAAACTTTTAAAGACTGATCACAGAAAGGAACACGAAAAGAGACTAATTGTCATTCTTGAGCATGCTTCTCTCGAAGCCGTAAAGGTGAATTTCGTAAACAGGCAAAAGGAGTAGAATGACTGGACTGAGTCCTAGTATCACTGCACTACCATGGGGGCACGGGCACTGTAGTCTGAGACTGTAGTCTGTACTGTAGACTGTAGTCTGTAGAGTGTAGACCAAATAATTCTGTCTCAGATAACCTTTTTTTATATTTTGGTGACTGAGGGTTATTGGGACAGAACGGGGTGCATTGAAATTTCGTGAGCTCGCATACGAAATGCTAGATACAATAATTATAACGAAGTGTCTAAACAACCGGATCCGGTTTTGGTATCCTGAAAACTAAACAACCGGCTCTCTTCTCTGATTGGCTAATTTTGTCACTATTTCATTTATTATTATTTTTGGCTAATTTTATTTTATTTTAGAATTAGGGATAGGTTTAGGGTCTATAGCTCTAACTTTCAAGTTGGTTGCATTGGCTCAACGGTAGAGTGTTCGCTTCTATATAGTAAAGTACCGTGTTCGAACCCCATAAGGTGTTTTTATTTTCCTCTGCTTTCTATTTCTTTGTATTTTATTTGTTTCTGCATTTATTTGTTCCGTAACTTTTGTTTATGTTAGGAATTCAATATATTTCTTTATG